CCCCCCCTCCCCAGTAAGGAGGAGGAGAAGCTTAGCGTTCATTTGCTGGTAATTTTTGAAGAAAATTTTCATTAACAATTCGACATCCTCGGAATTGTATGCAGATACCCTAGAGCAGCGGTTCTCAACCTGTGGGTCGCAACCCCTTTGGGGGTCGAACGACCCTTTCACAGGGGTCGCCTAAGACCATCCTGCATATCAGATATTTCCATGACGATTCATCACAGTAGCAACATTACAGTTATGAAGTAGCAACGAAAATAATTTTCTGGTTGGGTCACAACATGAGGAACTGTATTTAAAGGGCCAGAAAGTTGAGAACCACTGCCCTAGAGGCAGAGGCCTCAGGGGAAGGAGGCCCCAGGGTTTCAGGGCTGGGGGAGGAGGGGCCCAGTGCTCAGCACTGACCGGCAGTGAGCCTGGGGGCTGGAGCGGGGGTGGCACCATTAAAAGAACTTGGGACCACGGAGGAACAACGGGATGGAGGATGAACAGGGCATCCAGATCAGAGCTGTGGGCTGAGAGCGAGCGAGGAGGGCAGTCGGGGAAGCCAGCCCCTCCAGGGCACCCTTAGGAGCACGGCCCTGGAGCCCCGACTCTTGGCGCTGTGACCCCCGGGCAGGTGGCCAATCCTCTCCGCTTCTCAGAGGTTCACCTCCACGGACAGTGACAGCGATGAAAGGGCGAGGACTACGCCCTCCATCTTACCCTGGGTCCTCCATTTTTGGGCAGCCATGTGCTCGGCAAGGCTTCTTCCTGGAAGCCCAAGCCTCTGCTAGCCACACCCAGGATTTCTTTAAACTACCCAATGACAATCAAGGGAAGTGCGAGCCATAGATATGACCACATCCTGTGTAACGAGATTCCGACTTGCGCCTGGCCAATCGGCAGGGCCCACCGTCCTCTCTCCTCCCCTTACTATAAAACCCCTCTCCCCCACAGGGCTGGGTCTCTCTGCCACTTGCTGCTGCATCAGTAAGGAGGGTAGGGGAGCCAAGTCCGGGTTTGAATAAAAGACTCTCTGCTTTTGCATCGGACACGGCTGGCTCCCTGGTGTGGTCTCTTGGGGATCCTGAAATCTGGGCATAACAAGCGACAGGGCGCACCGTCAGCGCTGCCTGGGGACTGCAGGGCCCATGTGGGTGCAGCGATGCAGGCACCCTGCTGGGGACGCCCACGGACTCGCGGAATCGGTGCTGCTGCCGTTCTGGCTGAAAAATGAGGAGGATGACAGAGCCCCCACAAGGGAAGGGGAGATGGCAGGAATCGGCCAGAAAGGAAAAGGGGGCAGAGCGGCCCAAGTGACAGAGGCCTCTTTGCCAAAAGCCACAGGCGAGCTTTTATCGAGGGACTCGTTCCCGGAAATGAACTTTTCATACAGTGGGCGGGCTCCAACCGAGCTGTAATGCTGTGTCTGCAACACCTGCTCCTTGAGGCCGAGGTGACGGAAACGTGAGCCGGGGACCCCTCCCCGCCACCGCCCATGCCCGCACACCCTCCCGAGCGCGTGCACGGCTTCCGTCACAGCCCTGGTTACAGGAAGGCCTGGCTCCCGGGAGGAGGAGGTCCCAGGAGGAGCTGTCGGCCTCCTTCCCCCCATTTATTTGCGATGAGCTCCTGCCAAATCCAGCAATGCCACCCCGGCCTCACTGCTCCCCTCACCGACAGCGCGGCCCACCCCAACTTCTGGAGCTGGGCACCCGCTTCGGCCTCCTGTCCCTGCCCCGGGGCTGTGCTGCCCGTCCCCCTCTACACAGCAGAATCACAGCAGGATGTCACGGAACATAGTCGGCTGCTCAAAACTGGCTGGAAACTGAAGCAAGCACAACAGGGCAACAATCTGGCTTCCAGAGCTCGGTGCAGTTTGCAACTTTCAAACACCAACGGCAACTCCAAGTAGGAGGCTCTGCTTCCAAGAAAGATGGGCTCCGAGCGCTTCCGCGACACACGTCCCCGTCCGACGACGGGGCTCCTGTGAGGCTCACAGCGCTCCTCTGGGTCTGTGATCACGAACCTCAGCTGCTACCCCACATCCTCAGCACGCCCCCTTCTACGGGAAGGAGGGGATTATGACAAAGTCTGAGCCGACCCCTGAAAAGCCGAGTAACACGGCCGCATCCTCATCGTAGCAAAACCACCGCGTTAGGCCGCTGCCTGAGACAGATGTGGCCACAGGAGAAGTCAGGTGCTCTTACCCCAACGTGCTGATGAATCCATTTGTCGATCCCTCCGCGTACAGGGAGCATATGTCCCCGATGTGCAGGAAACTCGACATCTTGTCAGACATGTCTTTCTCGAAAAGCCTAGACAAAGCAAAGTAGGCACCGTTATGAGAAGGAAAAAGAAGACTCCGCGGAGGGGGAAAAGCCCGAGAGCTGGCTTAGCTTCACTCCATTGTCCAGCGTGGCCGGCAGGCAAGGCCATGCGAGGCCACAGGCAGCCACATTTCCCCCGAATGTTACTGAAGTTCAGGGTGTTCCGAGCACAATAACGCCGGCCTCTCACGTGGCCACACCCGGTCCGATCCGGCCCCCGAGGACCCTCGGTGTCAAACAGCGACTCAGGCTGCAGGGACCTCGGCCAAGAACTCCGCGGGGGTCAGGAGCCAGCGCTGTGACTCATGAAACTAACATATTCCTGGGCCTCGGGGGCGGGGTGTTGGGAGGAAACACCTGGATAGAACTTGGGCCTGGCGGTGCCGGGGACTCGGTACTCGAGCAGCAAAGTGAGCCCAAGAGAGTGACACCTGGTGACAGACACCACGAGGCTCGGGCGGCCTTCTCCCCGGGCAGGTGAGAGGAGTCAGGCTCAGGTCGGCGGGAGCCGGGGTCAGGAGGGCACCCGGCGAGTTCAGGCAGTCCTAGCAACGGCTCAGAAGTTCCAGGAAATCTCTGCAGCCCAGAAATCATCTCACACACACACACACACACACACACACACACACCCCAACAAAAACACGGTCTGACTCATGGAAACAGCCATAAAGACTGAGGAGTGGGAGCCAGTTATAAAAAGCTGAGCTGACATTGAAAACACGAGGTCATTTCCGTGGGAAGACGGTGCGCTGCTGTGGCCTGCAGGTGACCCCGGCGTCCCCGCCGGCACCTGCCGTGTAGACACGCAGGGACCCAACTTCCCCAGACCTTTCCTGCAAACCCAGACCCGGGAGCCTCGCCCCACGTCTGCCCTCCAGTCTCCCCGCCTCAGCAGAGCCGAGGAGCTGTGATGGCCGATGGCCGGGGGCCCCTCTCCTGGAATTTCCTTCCAGGGGCCAAGTTGCCTTCCCGGAAGAATTGTGCAGCCAGGGCAGCGGGAGGCCCGGACACTGCCCCTTAAAGAAGCCAGTCCACGCATGTGCGAAGGACAAGGAACAAGCAGTCTGCCCCTGCACCACCCAGGCGCTGCAGGAGACAGCACTTCACGGAGCGTGAACCTGTGTGCACAGCATGGCACTCTCTCAGACTGAAGACCAGCCTCTGGGGGTGGGGAGACACCTAAGGTTCACAGGGACGGTGGCCAGGCCCCGTCTGCACACCACGTTGGTCCCCAGGCCACCGCGTCCTAACCGGGCATCTCACACCAGAAGGCAGACAGCATCCACGAGGCTGCAGACACTAAAGCCATTAGGGCCCTTCCCACTTCCCCTGTGCTGACGTGTGAAAGCCGTGTCAAGGCAGGGAGCCGCGTGCCTGGCTGGGGCTGGTTGTGGGGAAGCAGCTCTGAGTGAATTCTGGGGCAGAGCAGTCACTCCACACACTGGCCTCCCAGGACCCCGGGGAGTCACAGAGTGCAGGGGGCAGGTGTGCACTGGGCAGGTGGGGGGGAG